TTAGACCTCTAAAAGTATCAAAAACCTAGAGACCATGAACTATTAAATTGTATCCATAGATACTACGGAATTAGCTATCTCTTGTTGTTATAATAAACATCTGAACTCAAAGAAAGCCAACTGAAATCCCTATATAATCTTAATTAGTGAAGATGCATAATCCTCACACTAAATAGACTCCTTCTAATTGTTCTTCCCCACCCAGTGTGCACATCAAACAGTGCTGTGGTTAAAAACAAAAAAAACATTAGGTCCTAACACACGTTTCGGCGTTGATGAAGCGCCTTTGTCAAAGGTAAGTAAGGTATTGATCAACTGGAAATTTATACTGTACGGTATAACCTTCTGAACCAATCTGAGACGCGAACGTGTATAACTAGCTTGCGCCAAAATCAGAGGCAACCTGTGTAGCTTGGGGGTCCATCTAACTCCTCCTTTTTGCAAGGCCCTGGGCGTTTATTAGGGGCAGACCCTTCTCCATATTAGGAGCCGGTGATCGTAATACCAGCTTTTGTGAAAGGGATTTTCGTCCATCCCAAGTACCGCCCATTTGGGCGTTTCTATGGGTGGACCTGTTCTTTGTACAGCGGGTACATGTAGCATATGCCCTGTATATATTGTGTATAACGAATGAGATCGTCCAGCCCATGTATCCCACTCATGGGCATATTGATGGGCGAATCTGAAACTCCTTATAAAGGGAATATAGTTCCAATACCAAGATTGGACACATATCTAAATATGCTAACGTAGTACATTAATGTTGCTTTCTGAAGTGGAAATCACCAGAGAAGAGGGGCACTATCTTGGTGATTACACATAGTTGTTAGTAGTGTATAATGTTCCTTCGCTTGATTATTTTATTGTATTGTGTTACACTGCTCTTAAAGGAGTATATCCCCCTAGTACATTATCGGTTACACATAACAGTCAAGCAGTGTTACCTATATATTCTTGGTGTTCAGTACAGGAACACCCTGGGGTACTGGTTGGCGTGATGTCATTCTATATATTCTCAGTGCATTAAAAAATTACAGTATTCACCTATGATGCTAAGCACCAAAGATTAATCCATGTTCATTATTAACAATATCACTACACTTAACATGAAACACAAACCGACCCTATATTTGCCAATGTCCTCCTTAAAAGTATATATAACGTATATTCGTAAGGGTTATGAAGGATTGTGTTTTAATATCAGTAGGTCAGTACCTTTATGCTTGATCCCTATATTGTTTATTAATGGGTGTTTTCAAAATTAAAGATAATAATAATAATAAATGCAAAACCAACATATATACATATTTACAAGTGCAGGGCGTCTACTCATTATGATGGATCAATAAATGGGGTAAACGTAAAACCCTCATTTAGTCCCTTGGGTGATAGGGTATCGAATTTATGGATCCAGTAACATTCCCTTCTTTGAGGGTCTGGTCCAGATCTCCTCCTCTTCTACCCATTTGGATTAGAAATGTGTGTTAGGAACTATGCTGTTTTTGTTTTAAACCACAGCACTGTTTTATGTGCACACTGGGTGGGGAAGAGACATTAGAAGAGTTCTATTTAGTGTGAGGATTATGCATCTTCGCTAATTAAGATTATATAGGGATTTCAGTAGGCTTTCTTTGAGTTCAGATGTTTATTATAACAATAAGAGGTAGCTAATTCCGTAGTATCTATGGATACAATTTAATAGTTCACAGTCTCTAGGTTTTTGATACTTTTAGAGGTCTAAGTAATGGATACTTTGTTAGCAATTCAATCAACTGCTTTTTAGTTTATTAGCTGACAAGCAAGGATACTTTTATTCACTATCCATAGACCATTACTAAGTGTTACTCCAAGCAATGAATGTATTATGAGCAATCTAATTAATTATCTTTAGTCTTTAGTTTATAGTTTCTAATTAAGGATACATTTATCCATTATCTATGGACTATTACTAAGATCTTAAGTGCCAATGGCGTCAGTATAGATTGTATGGAAGACACTCAATTACTGAGATCTACAACACTGTACTATTGTCTATCTCTCAGCATAACTCTACACCTGCTTACAACTATTCTTATATAGACCCAAGGTCTCCCCTGTGTTTCTTTTAGATGTGATGGGTTTTATTTAAGTTTACTTTTTTCTTGGGAATTTATGCCCTATAATAAAGGTGTTTTTAATTTGTATATATAATTGCAATGCCCAGAGAACTCTTTCTGGTGCTCCCAAAGCTTTTTTGCTAGGGATCAATTTTAGTTATAGTGTCTTGTATACATTCAAGGGTTATCCCCTATATAGGGTTCTGTGGACACACTGCAGATTCCGATAGTTAGGAATCATGCACTTGTGTGTGTGTCTGTTCTAACCACACACTTAGAAGCAACGCTTTGATGAAGCAACCAAGTTATATTAGCCAAGCTAATGACAACAATATTATTATAGCTAACAAGAACTCAGATTATTGCATTTATTCATAATGACCTTTGCTACAGTAGGTCAGAATTTTATTTTCAGAAATTCAAACTAAATGTACTCAGAATATTGGTTCTAAGCTTCTAAGTTCTTAATAAAAGCAATGGGAGGAAAACATGAGTCTGTGTGTCTTTAATATTTGTAAAGAAGAAGATAAGGGAGGCTACAAGATAAAGCTCCCAATACATTATTAGTTCCATAATGATTAGAAAGCAAGCATCTTTCGACAAGCTGTATGGTACAGATCTGAAAACTAAAGACTATAGCACCTTTTGGCTAGAAAACTTATAAAGTGAATATGGTGATTATGGTTTTCCCTGAGTGACAGAATGTCCAGGTCACACCTAAAGACTAAAGGGTGGAAAACTAGTATACGACTTTAATGTGACTCTGGAACTCTGTGACCAATCTATAGATCTCCCCTTGCTCTCCATTTGGCATGAAAGTTGATGTATTTGTATGTTTATACTGTACTACGACCTTTTGAATGATTTTGATTGAATTCTGAACATTATGTTCTATGTAAGTATGTAAGATAAATGTCTATCTTTGTATGAAAATAATAAAAATTATAAATAACAAAGAAAACAAGCATCTTTCAGATAAATATGGAAAAATAACAATTCACCTTGAAATCAATGCTCTCTTGTGTTGGTGATCTGTAGAGATGTTGCAAACCGTCCGCGAACTTCTCGCGAATGGTTCGTGGCGAACTCCGGTCAGCTGACACATCCCTGCCAATCTCTGGCAGACCCTCCCTCCCAGACCCTCCCACCTCCTGGACAGCATCCATGTTGAAGCTGCCTTCAACATGGATGCTGTCCAGGAAGTAGAAGGGTCTGGGAGGGAGGGTCTGCTGGAGATTGGCCGGGATGTGTCAGCTGACCGGAGTTTGCCGCGAACGGTTTGCCGCGAACGGTTCGCCGCGAACCGTGGCGAACCGTTCGCGAGAAGTTCGCAGATGGTTCGCGACATCTCTAGTGATCTGCAGAAAAGCAGTTTTAGGTACAACATGAGATGTGACATACTTGGAAATATGAGAAATCTCAATATATTATTCCTTTTAAAATACTAAATAATACATTGGCACATACCAAGGATACAATAATTGTCCTATTTGAGACAGTTACTGTGGATTCATATAATTAAATGGTGAACCAGGATACTGAGAGACTGTCTGTAGTATATAGCAGATTTAGAGTGCAGAGCTGGACATTACTGGAACTGGAAGGACCGGTCACTAAAATCGCAACAAAGATGGCCTGGAAGACAGGAAAGGTAAATGCACTAGCAGGCTCTCCATTCAGAGCTATTCTCTCTATAGACCCAGGAGTCCTGTGGCCATTGTGGCTTTGTTAGGTAATAATGTGCCACAGGATATAATATTGATAAGAACCCCGGTGCCTACAACTGATAATAGTAAGGCAAGGTAGCAAACAGAGGAATAGAAAGAGCATGGCTTAGGAGAACTTTTGATACACACTCTCTGGAATAAAAGACCCAGACAAAGAAAGATACCAAGTTAGGAGCAAGCATATGATCCCAGCTGTCTTCCAGGGTTCAACAAACAGGATGGAGTCACCAAGACAACTAACTAATTAGTTTTGTCTAATGATTAGATCCATTCAGGCAGGTTGCACTAATAATAAGGAGAAAGGTTAGACATAAACATATAACTAAGATCATTGGCTTCCAGAAATGATGGACTACTATGGTAAACAGTCAAAGTATATCAGACAAAGTCAGTCTGATATCAACTGGGGAGCGACAGAGCCAGATAGAAAGATTGGTGAATATAAACAGTAAATGTGCCTATTAGGGAGTGCATTGCTCCTTTAAGACTCACTGAGTAATTTGGCAGCTAAAATATGGGTTCTGGTGAATATATCGTAGTAATCAATTTTCAGTTAGCCTGGCGTCTCCACTCTGAATAGCATATGCTTGTGCAATTATTTAAATGGTGCTCCAGCTCCAGGCTTCTTCTGCACTATGCATCCCATATTTTGCGATGAAATCAGAGTGCAATGTAATTTTAAATATAGCTGTTGGTCAATGTATAAGATAGAATTGCGAGAAAGGCTGACAGACACACAGACAGAGGGGGTAAGTGGATGGATGGATGGATGGATTTGTGTTAACAGGTTTAAATTCTGAAAACCCTGAGACATGGAAAATCGAAATGAATATACATATTTAAAATAACAATTAAAAAATAAAACACAAACAGATACACAACAAGTAAATTAACACTGTCACACAATTCAGTATGATCTCAGTTTCAGAATCTTGTTGTTTTGGTTTGTAAATAGAGAACTGTGGGGAAAAAAGTTAATATCAATAACACAGAAAAAAAACACACGAGTGGGAACCCACGTAAATAAGAGTGAGCTGTTTCCCACTTCGTGCGTAAACCCTATGAACTAATTCATAGTTCCTCCTCTGGAAGATCTATCCTATATGTTGATCTGTCATCGCGATAATACTATAATACTCCCTCCTCACTCTTTGTATTTGGAAGTGAGTGAGGTATTCTGACGCACTCCTTCATAGTTTGGGGTATTTTTTCCCAGCCTTGCGTCACCCTGACTCTTGGTAATATTATAAATATCCCTCCTACAGAGCTGCTGATTTCAGAGTGGGTCTGATCATTGTGATACCCAGAGGCACAGTGTTACCCCTAGCACAGCCGGAGTAAAAGAGGAACAGGTAAGGACTGAGGATTCTATATATATTCTGAAATGATGATCATTGAATACTAGTTGGAGAGGGGCATGTTTAATAGAGCACAGCGTTTACGCTCGGGGACATTGCTAATGCTCAATTTGTTACATACAGGATGAGCAGTAATCTTTAGCAACAGACTGTAGTTCAATAGACAGGAGTCAGCACCTTGGACAGCGCACGGTATCTCGTGTGTTCCCATGTATTCCTGACTTGTTCAACCCAATAACAATAATATATCGAATACTGCGAGCTCAAAAGTTAAAGCTGTGGGTTCTAGTTAAGTGCAATGAGATTAGCACTAAAATGCTTGAAAGACAGCAGCAATTAGCATCCAGATACAATGTTAATGCCCTTTAATTGTAACAAAAATCTACATTACGCACACATTGTGATTGGTTAGTTTGTTTTCATTGACTGCTACTGACCTGGTGACTTTTAAACTTTATTCTGATGATCTGCTAATGGACTGATAACAGACACCTGCTAATAACGATCATGTTGTAAATCGATGAGCAGACATGGACTTGGAGCATTGGGCTGGCTTGTGTAGGAGTGAGATTGATTGGGATTTAAATGGATTATATTTCAGGGAAAGGGCTTTCTCCTATGTCAACATTATAGATCTGCCAAAGCTCTATAGATGATAATGGCATGTTTAGACATGGGATTTAATCTGTCTCCCATTGAAATCAAACTACTCACACTAAGGGATTTGGTCCAGGTCAGTTATTACAATAAGGCAAAAGAGTGGCACACTGGGTAACTGCGGAGAGTTTACTGCTCCCGGCGAAATGTCAAAGTTTGGTCAAATATGAGTCAGCGTAGGCATGTTGCGGATCCCTTTTCACATCATGCTCAGACAGCCAAAGATCGCTATCACTGCCCTGGGAGGGTATGTTACGTGTTCCTGACAAATGATGCAATGGGAAATTCTGTTGTTAAAGTTACTGCAATGATAAGTACACTAATAACGTGAAAACAAGTATAAGGACTGTGTAGAGGGCATTTGTAGAATCTGTCAGAACCAGGAGAGTTACTTACACTTATATAGTATACTATATTACAGAGGAATGAGTTAGGTACATAAAGTACGGGTCAAACCTGGACATGCCCTCTCAATGTTTAGCTGGCTAATTGCAAGCAAAGTGTCGCATGTTAACTTTGCTAATTAACCCCCGTAGCCAGCTGTTCAAGGAGTTTTTTCTAAATACGATGATTATTCTTTCTTTTCTTTAACCAAAATGACAATCTATTGACAATCCCAGACTATATATTTTTTAGAAAATGTATACAACTATCCACACACAGTCTAACACACACACAAACACACGCAACTATACATACTCTCAGAGACAAACATTCACGCACACAGTCTTTCACACACAATCACACAAACACACACATATACACAAACCATTCCTTACCATTTAGCTCACTGAAACAAACCCGTAGATCTGTGCATGCTGAACCAGTGGGGTTCTATGAAGACGTGTTTGAGAACCCCTGTTTTATTGCACCAGTGCGTTATAATAAAGGAGCACAGTACTTAGATCTATAATGTGCTTTCCATGTTTTCATCAAAAATGAGGAGGGGGACATGTAAAGTATTAGAAGTAAGAACACTGTGAGGGGGAGAGAGGAAGAAAGAGAGAGGGGGGGATGGGGAATACATGGAGGCGAAGAGAAGGAAGAGAGAGTGGGGAGAAAGAATGTAGACAAGTCAGAAAAGAGTCGAGAGAGGAAACATAGGGGAGAGCTTAGAATAAAAAAATGTTAAGAAAAAATAAATAATGTCCCTATTAAATACTAGAGATAGTGACTGTATATCGTGCTACATACAAAGAAACATGGATAACATAGCCCAACACTCATCTGCTCTTGTTTGTTTGGGGCTGAAATAATCCTAATCACAAATCTGCAAGGATTTCTGCAGTACACATGGTGCAGGAGGGGTATTACAGATACACCTAGCCTATCATTAGCTGTGTGCAAGCTATGCCTATAATAAGTATAACACACCTGAAGACTTTTTATTCTGCATATTTTATTTCTTTCCAGCAACTCAACACAATTATTCTGTTTCAAATATTAAAAACATATACTATTTTAACCCCTTAAGGACCAAACTTCTGGAATAAAAGGGAATCATGACATGTCACACATGTCATGTGTCCTTAAGGGGTTAAACATTGCAAACATGCGATTCTGGAAAACTTTCTATTATATTATATTCTTTCTTTTCCCACAACCTTCCAGTCCCTCACATTATATAGCTGCTTTCCTACATATGTCCATTTATCCCTTACCCCATTCTCTCCATATCCTCTCCTCCACACCTCACCAGACCCAACACAATCACATCTACAACACTCACACATCTGTAACACTCAAATATGTGTTTATGTTCTTAAGTTGTGTTGACTTTACCTCTGAACACGCATTAAAGCCATTCTAACACCATAACATTGACATGACATACATACAAGCTGTTAGCCCCTTGTCCACTTAATCTGACACATCACCAGGAGGGAGATATGGGTTATATATTATAATTATTTCCAAAGGGAGAAACACCTGGGTACTAAACATGCTATTATTTTTCCTACTTTATAATCCCGGGTTGCGAACCTAATTCGTTTAAATAAAATAACAACTAACAAAGGATGTGCCTAATTTGCTGAAACCCACTGAACTGCAGTAAAGACACAGTGGGCTTTGCCCCATAGGGTTTCAAAGGAGCAACAAGTTTTGCACTCATTGCGATATTCATGAAATACTGCATGTTAATTTCATGACTAAATAGATCAGACACTTTATTATTTATTATATGTATGCATACTTTACTTTTCAGTTTTAAGGGTTATGGCTAATTAAATTGTGTTTATAAGTGCATACACACACAAAAAGACACAACATAAACACAAACATGCACAAAGGTATGTATACATTTAGGCACGTACACAAACATACATACATATATGCATTTACAGATGCAAAAACAAGTGCATACTTAAAAATCAGTATATATAAACACATACACAAACAGGCATGCATTCATCCATACGAACATAACATATTTATAAACATGTATTTATAAACAGGAAAACGTGGTATTTATATAGTGCGTACAGACAAATAGAGGTATTATTACAAATGCTCTATGTTTTGTGTTGTTTTTGTGTGTTCATCTCTGTTCTTGTTCCATAGTGTTGCATAAAACAGTTTTCACTTTTTACGAAAATTATGGTATATTGATGGTATATTGGTGGGGAAAAAAAATCCCTGATTGGTAATGTGCGATTCAACTACAATACAGGAGGAGTGTAATATAAACATGGAATAAATTGCTTATTAAAATATCCCGGTATCTTTCAATATGTAGGGATACATTCTTTCACTAATCAAGAATTGCAGAAGTAATTAGTAAGAATTTAGAACGTAACGGATTTACTTACATAGAACAACAATAACAACTGAGAGGGTGAGAACAAGACAGGAGAAAGGACAGCGATAGGAAGAAAAGAGGGATGTAGGAGAACGACAAAGCGAGGAAGAATTGGAGGTAAAAGAGTGTAAGTCAGTCCAGAGGTATAGGATGACAGAACTGATGTAGATCAGCCATGACAAGTCTTTTCCTGGGTTTTTGGCTGCAGAAGGCAAACACATAAAGCAATATGTTGTAAGACCTTAGGGGCAGTGAATTAGGAATGTAGTGGAGAAGATAGGTTTATATGCCAATTTCAGGGGGTAGCTCCTCACTCCATTTCGCCTGCACTGAAATTAATTTATTATGACCTGATGGCATCCAGTTAAGCATGGCAATCCCTTGTTTGCGTCAGCCTGTGCAAACATATGACAGTAAGGGCTAGTATAAAAGCTCTATCACAGCTACCTGGAGTACAGTATCTCCTCTGTAGCACTGCCCATTCCTGCTACTCTATTGGAAAAGCAGAGCAGATAAGAAAGGTAAGCTTGCAGCATCCCTCTACTGAGCAACCTGCTCCTGTGTCTATATAGTCCTGCTCTATCAGAAAAGGTAGCATTGCATAGAAATCCATCCCGTTTGTAATTTATATTTTGTTCTACGTGCAGTATGGAGAGTTTTATTTTTTTAAGATTTTTTTTTCTACAAATGCAAATAATAAAAAGTGTAGGTCCATGGGAGATTTGGACTCACCATTGTATTTAACTGATTGGAATCGCCATTGTAGTTTGTATCCGTATGGTAATGTGCTATTTACTATATTTTCATATTACTAGTTGAAACTATATTTTTCCCGATTAGCCATTTATTACTAGGGGAAGAGATCATGAAACGTCACCTTTCCGGCACTGAAGGAGTTAAATGAGTTTGTATACTGGGGGAGTAGAGTAAGGGAGAAAGAGTGATATCACCGATCTAGTTGAATTGGAACTGATGTCCTGCAGTCAGCGTGTGTTCGAATTGAATTCGAACGTTTGAAAATGTAGAATCAGGTAGCAAATAAGCAAGAACGATCTTTCTCTTTATTCAGCATACAAGTGTGAGCAAACCCACGCTAGAGAGGGAAGACACATCACCTTTCTAGACACTGTATGCTGTCTGATGTTTTCCTTTTTGGAAACCCATTTTGGGATGCCTCACTTGCTGTGGTGCTGCTACTAACTTATTTTAACCACTTAAGGACACAGCTTCTGATATAAAAAGGAATCATGACGGAAAATGTCCCTCATGTGTCTTTAAGGGAAGCTGAAGTGTTTGGAGTGTTAAATTATTTTCTTCCCTCCCTAGTCTCCACTAGGGTCCACCAACATCTACCTGCCATTATGGGGTTTACCTAGGATCAATGGGGTGGAGGAATGCCCCAAAGATAGTTGCATGGGACACCTCTGGCATAGTTTATGTCTCTGTATAAAATGTTTCATACATTAATACCCACGAAGGGTGTACATTTGCACTGATAAATATGCAGTCATTTTGAGCATCTTGATAAGACTTAGTGCATCTATTTAGATCACAATCATTTAACATAATGAAGCTCAGTATACGCATGTTCAGCTAGAAAATAGTCAATCAAAAGTGCAGGCTGCACTAGTGCAATGCTCCCATTACTCTCAGCCAGCCACCTGCTAAGTCTAGATTATTTACAAACACACCTGTTGTTACAACGCTAAATCAACATAAAAAAACAAGGTGTATATTTTATGTGTGAGGGTTACAGCCAGCAAATCTACTATTCCCTTCCAACAAATGCCACCTAAATGAGTCAAGTTTTGAGTGTGTGAAAACTGTAATGCAAAAAATGTGATAGTGCTGCAGTTTGTTGACACTGCAACCTGGTACTGGAAAGAGCCAAATATTGAATTGGTTGTTATCAGTAACTACTATTAATAAATAATATGTTTGACTAATCAATTTCACAGAAACTCAGTTCGATGTTTGGTTTTGCTGACATGCAAAATATGGGTCAAGCTAGATCTGCTGTGCTTTGTAAATTGATGAAAACATCTTTATTTTTGCTGAATGTTTTTAGCCTGAGGCATGTTGTAGGCAGTTGACAGCACACATCACTTATCTATTGCAGTTTACAATGCATCCTCATATAACATTAGTAATGTAAGGAAAAATACCCACATTTCACATATTGAACTTTCCATAAATACATTGTTGTAGGATGTCTGTTGACATTTCTGTAGATACCTTTGGACACTAATACAGATTTCCAACAAAGCAATCATTGATTACATGATCTGTTTGTTAAAGTCAGTATTCATTATAAACATATGGAAAAGTCAATCTGTTAAAATTGGGTCCATGAAAAAAAAAATGATTCTTTTCTACAATGGGTATAGCTGTCCAGCTACTAACCAAGTAAATGCATGGATTCATCTTCTGATACCAAAACAAGTGATAGATTTCAAGTTGGATGCTCCTTAACAGTGCTGCACCATTACCATTACTGCTGATTGATCAATTATTACAATCTCAATAATATCTATTACCTGTTGAGTAGGTGTAATGTTTTAATAATGACTCTAAGTAACTGTCATAAAAATGACACATACGAATATTCAACTCTAGATTTCAATTGGGTATGTTCTATTTGAAATTTACGCTTTTTGGTTAGATCCTGCTTTTATCCTGAAAAACAAAAATATTAAACGAGAATACATTCTCCACAAGGTGTAATCTATAATGTATTTTTTTTACTTTTGATTAACATTAAACTTACTTTTTGGTTCCATGCTGATCTATTAATTGTCTACGACAATGAAAAAGAAAATTGTATTTTTGATTAGATAATCACTATAAATTGTTTTCTTTCTTTCTTTTTTAACCAAGTTTGTTAAGGTATATATAAAGACATGGATGTGAAGTTAGAGCATTGAATGGATGGATAGATGGATGATGGATGGATAGGTAGATAGATAGACAGATCATCTACGATTTGCTCTGGGGTTAATATGGATACACAATTAAAGAAGTACAGTGCTATCTAAATGTTTAATGTTTTAAACATTTTTTTTTAATGTTTTAAAAATTCAGTATGCTGGTTTCCCGGTTTTAACAACACACCAAACTCAAAGCCACACTACATATCTTTTAAAGCTTAGACACATCACAGTTCTTAAAGGCCTGATAAGGTTGTCCCCACATGGCCATGACAATGCCTTCTCACCATTTAAATAAATTGCTATAGTATTTTCTCCATGAGAAGATGATGTTTTTACAATTATTCTTTTTCCTCAGCTATGTACAGTGGGATGTGCATCTGTTTATTACTTGCTGTGCTCTCAACGAGCTCAATAGGACAGCAAACTACAGGTACTGTCAATGAAGACCCAGGGGCTCCAGAAATAGAGCAGCAGAGTCTACTGCAGCACCCAAGGCATATCCGTGCATCCTCTACTGGCCAACTAAAGACCTTTCAGCGCATAGATGGAAATGGAGATCAAAAGGCTAATTTTGGGGCAATGTTGGCCAAATATCTGCAACAAAGAAAAGGTTAGCTTTTTCATATAAAGGAGCTCACTGTTTTTAAAATTAATATGTCAAATAAGTGTATTAGTAGATCAGTATGTAGATTATGTTTTTTTTTTTTATTTTTTTTTTAAGTAGTACCTAAAATGATTGTGGTAAATGACACTTTTCTTTGATGATTCTGGTAACTGGTTTTATTTGTTAAAAAAAAAAAAAAGATTCCATCAAGAATAAAAAATGTCTATCATGACTAAACATAGACATATAGAGACATAGAATGTGATGGCATATAGGAACCATTCAGTCCTTCTAGTCTGCCCAATTTTCTAAATACTTTAATTATTCCCTGGCCTTATCTCATATTTAGGATAGCTTTCACGCATTGGTTTCTACTATTCATCCAACCAGAAAGGGGGTAAAATTAGAGCTATCCACAGATTAACAGGTTGTCAATGCCTTATAAACTCTCGTTGGGCTGAATATCTTGCATTGCCAAAAAGGCACCAATATCTCTTTAAAAAACAACCTGTTTGGGCAGATAATACTACATCTTTTGTTCTGCTTAAAGTGAAATTTCTTTTTTTTTTAAGTCTCACTATGTGGTTTTGCAAACAAATTTATTAAAGAACAGGTCACTAGATAGCCTTTTATATACCGGTTTTGTACAATGGTGTATCACTTCTGACACACCATTTCTAAAGTAAACAAGATTAACTTTTCTAGACTGACTATATAGGCAAGAACCCCTTATTCGTTTTGTAGACCACATCTGTACTTTTGCCACTTCCATAATATCCTTCATTAAATTTGAAGCCCAATATTGCACTATGTCAGCAAGGTGGGGGTATTACTATTGATTCATATAGAGGCAAATTTAGTTTACATCAAACATATTAGTACTCCTCTTTGCACATGACAGTCCTTTAATGGCCCTTGTAGTTGTTGTCTAACATTGAACATTGTTGCCTTGTCTGCTGCCTATAATTATTTCTAAGTACTTTTCAGTTTTCATTATCCCCATCTCAATAAATGTATGGCTTATATTGCTTGTTTAATAGCCATCTCAAGATGCACATAACTATATTGAATCTCACCTGGCTCTTGTTTACTGATTCCTATTGAATAAAAATCAATTTTGGTTATGATAGAGTACTATATTTTATTGTAATGTATATTATTTTTATCATCTGCAAATACAGTGCTATTTTTTTTGCTTGTCTGTTCCTCTGTTTATTCACAACATTCCAAAGGTTGGCAAGTCATGTGAAAAATGCCATTTGAAGCAGTTAAGGTGGACACTTGTCCTATAATAATTGAGTAAAAAATAAATTAAAAGGTCAATCAAGTGCAGTCACATGAGTCCATGTGTTCAATCTTTAATTTCCCTATGACAAAATGACTGACCGCCTTGAAGATTACAGGCCTGTAGAGTGTGTAGTCTGCATTTGACTATACAAAAATTTGTAATTACTACTGGCTTTTTTTTTTTTTAAATACTCGACCTGTGGCCAATTGCAGACATTATTTGTGTATTGATAGTACACACATAAAATAAACATTAGATTATTTATTATATAACAATAGTGTCCTTAAATTGCATTTATGTTATATTTACCCTACACACATCTCAAACACCACTTCCTTTAAGGTGAACACATTTGTATCTAAGCAGACTGACATCTCTAACACATTGCTTCCATAAAGCCTACTTTAAAGAGAGAATCATGTGTTCTGCAGATAGCGCTGATGGCAACCTAGGGTGAATGAAGCAACCAGCGCCATCTTTTAGAGCAATATGTAGGGTTATAGGCGAGATGGGAATTTTTATAAAGGAATTTGAGCTCAAAAGAAAGTGTCAGAGGGGACGAATTATAGGCAAGACATAGGAGAGGTGATACTGTTAGAAACTCAGGAATAGAATGTGAATGGCAGGAAAAAAAAGATGATGCAGGATGAAAGGGTAAAATGGGTAGACATTAATAGTAAAGCAGAGTGAAAAAATATTATTGGGAAGTTTATGTCGTAAAACAAGACCGTGAGAAAGAGGGGAAACCAGGACATTGAAAAGAGAAAAGAAAAGAGGAAGGTAGAGAGAACACCTGATAATGGATAAGAGACCAGGAAACAAAATGTGAGAGAAAACACCAGATGAGAAGTGATCAGAAGACAGAAGAAAGGAAATAAAGAGACCCATGGGAGAGCGTGGGATGAAAGAGCAAATGAGGAAAAGGACAGTAAAGGAGAAAGGGGGCAGTCAAAGAGTTATTTAATAAACAGAGTTAGAGGGGCAGTAAGGGATGGGTGAATAGAGTTACTGACAAAAAAAAAAGATAAAGCTGAGCAAGAGGCTAAAGAAAAAGTAACTAGATAATGGAGAAAAAAAAAGAAAATGTAGAGAGTCAAGAAAACCTATGAGAGATGGGGAGAACAGTTGTATATATGTATTTCCAAACATTTTAAGGTCCTCTTTGAGTCAGTTCATATAAAAAATAAAAACAAACTGTTCCTTGCAAATTATTGTAGCGTTAGTTTGTTTTCAGGTTCTTTGATATGTTTGGTTTGTATCAGCTGCAAAATTAACAGTTCCCCAAATTATTGTAATGAAATAATCAATATGCATTATTTGAGTTTTCCCATATTTTTTCCAATTGGTAGTTTACCATTGATGGCATACATATGGGAACAGCCAACAGTTTTTCACATTGAAACATTGAAAAACAATCACCACCACAGGTTCAGAGTTGAATGTTTTTTCCTCTGATTGTTATTATCTGTGAACAATGGAGAGTGAATGAGATAATGTAGTAGTATGGCGTATGTGAAAACAGCACTGCAGAGATCATCAGTGGGGTAAAACCATTGTATATAGGAGAACTATACAAGAGTAAATAAAATACAAACATGAAAACATAATGTAACATCCCTAGACATAATGCCAAACATATATACAATAAAGGTGACAGAGGGGTAATTACTGTGTATAGAAACCTATGTACTGACTCTAAGGTTTATGTTTTTACTTTAAACTAATGATTTTAAAGAAAAACAGTTCAGAGCTTTCCTTTCATGATGTACCCTGATTTAATAGCACTACAACCTACCAATTATTGCTTCTCTTGATATATTATTCTTAAGACTTCCAGTGCGTGAGTTGGAATATTATCAAACATTAGTAAGTCTACTAAATATATTTGATTTACAACAGATTGACATGTGGCAATGTATCTTGCAACATATTTTTATGATAAATTGTTTATGGGCTAATATTTTTTATGGTAAATGTATTTTGAAAGTTCACTATTATGGTGTCATGTAGTACGGAGAACTATAAGGAGATAATAAAAATAAAGAGGTAGGTTACTAGCCAGTTGGCATGGATTAAGCAAAGATTGTAGATAACATCGATGGAGAGTAGAAAGGATAGAGAATATAAAAAAATTGAGAAAAGGATGGATGGCCTTTAGCACAGACTTTTAAGCCTAAAGAAACTGATTCTTGGAGAACTTATAAGTAAAGGGCACAATAAGATGCTGGTGTATGAAAATAGGAAAGGAGAGGGAAATGAAAGGTCGAAAATTGCTATGTACACATCTATAAAACTGTAATTCGGTGGGCTAACATGCTCATTATTGATTAAAGGCATTCAATAATTCTGGAGATTAGCCTCTATTCTATTCATCCCTATTCAACTAACCTTCAGGTATTTACTATTAACGTCATATCATTTAACATTCTATATATAAAAATGTAACGGTAATGGACAAAATAACTTTGGTAGATTTTTAAGGCATAATACAATCTACTTGTTATTAAAGAAACACTTCAGAAATCATTAGCGCAAGATTGTATCTGATAAAAAGAGACATTATACACTAGCATGTGCATTAGAGTTAAGAGAAGCATTTCATTGGAAAATAAGGTTGAGAATCATTCATACACAGGAAAGAATTGACAGAGGTCACTCAATATTGAATGCTTTGATTTATTTTAAACAATGAACGTTAATACACGGGTTTTAAGGAAGTAGTTGTTAAAGAACTGCTAGTTTTGTTTTTTTATAATTATTTTGTTGAGTTTTTTCACAAAAGTATTCACAAAGACAGTATAACAAACATAAGAAAATATAAAAGACTGAATACACAACAATAAAGTGCTTCTTCCAAAGTATTCTTCTTCTTAGATATTTACCACAAATCTTATACATATATATATCTGCAGAGTGGTGGAGAAGGGGGGACTCGTGAAGAACTGCTATTTTTTTAAGGTCCATTGAAATGTGTTAGGTGTGAATATTCAAATGTTGAGGTCTTTTCTGGACCAACTAAGGCCTCAATTTAATTTTGCTAGGTAAGCTTTCAAAATGATTGAATATTTTAGCTAAATGTTTATAATGATTTTTTTCAACATTTTAAAACGTCAAAAATGTATCACGTATAAACAATATATCAAATTTTATGAAAATATTACAAAATTTAAATATTTTATACGTTATTAAATAATTCTAAAAGTTTAGCTAAAAAATTTGAATTCATTTGGAAGGCATATACAACAATATTAAATCAAGGCCTAAGTTCATCCATCTTGACTGTCATTTTCACACTTCTGGATACTTTATTTGAGAAAGTTACCATTTTACAAACACAAAACATGATACAGGTGAAAAGTTTGCAGATGATAAAGTATTGTTCCTTTTTTCCATTTTTTTATATTTATTGTAACACTGCCCTACATGTTTGGGCTTGAGTCAATTCTGACTAAGGCCTCAATTTAATAAACTTTCCAAATGATTCAATACTGTTATCATAAATGTCTACATTAATTCTTCTGTAATTTGGAAAGTCTTTCTAACAGTATTGAATCATTTGGAAAGCTCATTAAATCGAGATCTAAATGACACTAAAGTGTGATTTATCAGAATTTCAAACTAATATTAAACAGATTTTTAAATTTAAGACTAAAATAGCTAAATTGGAAAAAATCAGTCACCCATGTTTTCAACTATTTTGGTCTATAAATTGAAATTCACTTTGAATTTCGGACATTTCATGCCGAATAATTTTGCTCTATTGTTTCCATTATTTCATGCTGTTTTGCATTTAAATGATAATTTACCCAATACGAGTAAAATATATTAGATAGTGTAGAGTTGTGATTATTCTTAAAGGAAGACTATAGTCACCTAAATTACTTTAGCTAAATAAAGCAGTTTGTGTGTGTAGATCATTCCCCTGCAATTCAATTCACGGTCATTGAGGAGTTAAATCACATTGTTTCTGTTTTTGCAGCCCTAGCCACACCTCCTCTGGCTTTGATTGACAGAGCCTGCATGAAAAAAAAAACTGGTTTCACTTTCAAACAGATGTAATTTACCTTAAATAATTCTATCTCAATCTCTAAATTGAACTTTAATCACATACAGGAGGCTCTTGCAGGGCCTAGCAAGATATTAACATAGCAGGGGATAAGAAAATCTTAATTAAACAGAACTTGCAATAAAGAAAGCCTAAATAGGGCTCTCTTTACAGGAAGTGTTTATGGAAGGCTGTGCAAGTCACATGCAGGAAGGTGTGACTAGGGTTCATAAACAAAAGGATTTAACTCCTAAATGGCAGAGGATTGAGCAGTGAGGCTGCAGGGGCATGTTCTATACACCAAAACTGCTTCATTAAGCTAAAGTTGTTCAGGTGACTATAGTGTCCCTTTAATGTACATACTTCTAAAAGATTTTTTCTTCTGGTGGCCTCAATGAATAAATTACATTTACATAAAATTATGTTATTGCAATATTCATGAAATAAAAACCAAAAGAAGCAAACACAGCTAAGAAAAGAGACAAAATGCTTTGCCATAGTCATAGCACAGAACTAGTAAGGTCTTAATTTTTTTAATTAATACAGTAATTGCTTTGGTGCATTAACACTTTCAATATGTATGATTAATTGGAATTATGGTGTTGGAATATTTAGCATAATATGTGATTAAATGAGCCAGTGAAGGATAGTATTGCAGTAAGATGGTGTTAAAAAATAATGTATATAGACGATGCTTGCACACCGCTGAAAAGGGTTGTTTGTCTGAATCATGCAGTTTTCAATATTGATGAAATACTTGTGAAATGCCATAGGTCATGTATATGGAAACTATGAGGAAATTATTTGCTAAACAGCAAATAGTAAATGAATTAAAAACAAACTTCAAAATTGGAGCTAAACTAGTCAAGCTGTGATTCAGGTATTTGCACATAGATTTTGAAATTAGGTTCCCAATTCACTAGAATTCAACGTTTACTGAAAAATCCCTTAATGGAAACTTCCTCAGATGATTACTGGTGAAGTGTACATGTTCTAAGCAAATATTTTATTGTGTCTTCGTGAAGTTGCATTGGAAATTAATTGGAATGCACCTTTTTGTCAATCATGCAAACTAGTAACTGCTAACTGTTGGATGGTATCAGTAGCATGCAGATGTTACAGTAACACTTGAAGGACCACAGCTACTTTAGCATGTTGTAGTGGTTATGGTACCAGGAGTGTGTTGGCATCCACACAATGTAAGTAGACAAACATGTTTTAAGAGTTTCACTTCTTATTTGAGGGTTATCATGTGAAGCTCCCTGCCTCTCAGGAGAAGGGCTTAGGTCATATGTTGAGAGCAAACAGCTGGTGCACTCATCCAATGAGCTGGCAATGAATTGCAGGAATTAGCTTTAAAAAGCTAATGAAAGCTCTTGGCAGTAGGGAGGGAAGAGGCAAGGAGCTGCACATGGTGTACCACTGGTATGACTTGAAATCATTTAAAAAAAGTTTGAATACTTACATTAGGGGGGTGCCAGGGCACAATTGGTGCTGTACCCACTCCAGCGCACAGTGGTGTGTATTGTGCTTGAAGTGTTCCTATAAAGACTAGGGTGGACTATGAAAACCTGTCAGTATTTCTTAGCAACAATGATCTACTAGCTGTTGGTATTAACGATGTCCATGGTAAAGAATCTCACAAGTATGTCATGGATGTTCTGAAAGCCAAGGAAGTCAAAAAACTTAAAGAGTGTTTATTTCTTAAGAAATATATCTAGAAATGTATTTCTCATTTGAAACGTACATAACTCTAGTGAAATTATACACTGGGAGATTGCGCTTTGAAAGCAACAGCATTGAAAGTTACAGTAAGGCTAATTTGTCATCAAATGCTTTTTTAATAGTAATACTTAAGGGGATAGTTTATTGAAGAGTAAATTGTAGTAAATTCATAAGCCATAATGAAAAAAGTGGCTAAAATGTTCAAGTTGTAAAGGATCATTTTACCATTAACAATAAATTAATTTTTATTTTTAATGTGTTCTTTTATTGCTTTAGGTTATACCCCGTACAATTAAAAAAAACTACACATTTTTAAAAGGCCTTTAAACCTACCTATAATGCAGCATGACCGTCTTCTCTTTACAGAAGAGATCTTGGTCTAATCTCAAAAACAAGCATTAGGAACAAGTGGCACATGCACAGCAATTACCCTACTCCACCAAACTGATGCTTCTCATGGAGAAGCAGTGACTCTCAATGAGAAGCAATGGGAACATTGGAAACATGAAAACCTTTCATTTTTGTAGGCCTTAAGTAGGAAGTACAAGTAAAGCAAAACAAAGGATCAGCGCTAAAAAAAACACAAAGAAAAATGTTGAAAAAGCAGCACACCTAAAGGAAAACGGTTCCCTCACAAACCCTAAACAGTTATGGATACAGAAAGAATGGGAGAAAGGTAGCACTAATAATAAAATAATAATTATAATATATATAACAGTGTATATAAAATAAAATACAAAAGTCCACATTAAAAGGCCCGATCAGATTGAGATAAAATACCACTTGAAAGCAGTTTCTGTTTTGAATGATTTTTTTAATTGCATGAGACTTTTTTACATACTCTGACGTTGACTTGTCACCATCAGAGAATGTAAAAAAGTCTCATGCAATTAAAAAAATCATTCAAAACAGAAACTGCTTTCTTTTTATTAGGGCTGTTATATACTACTGTGTACTGAGTACTTTATAGTTGGCATGAAATACAGTAAATAGCAAATGCAATGTATAATGTATCCATAAAATAGGTATGTTTTACTTTTTATCAGCCTCCATATTTGTATATTATGGACACCAATGTAACATTTTCAGTAAGAATTTTTGAGTTTATAATAATCACTGTTATAACATCAAATAATCATATTAATAATAGCTGTGTGTTTTTGTTATTGTAGCTGGTCCCTCTGGAAGATACGCTGTTCTGCCAAATAGAGGCATCATTGACCCTACCCATCGGATAAACGACAGAGACTACATGGGCTGGATGGATTTCGGACGGCGCAGTGCTGAAGAATACGAATACTCTTCTTAAGTCATCCAAACCTTTAACATCACATACTCACATTTCTGTACAGCTAAAATAAATTAATTTGTTGTCTTTACAAATCAGTGTTTAAAATATATATTTATTATGTACTTGTTGTAAATTTGTTTGTAAGACACAATATACATATGCAGAATTTTCCAGAAAACATTCTCTCTCTTTTTTGGGGGGCTCTCACCGCATGTTGTTAATATACCATATTAAAAAGATTTAATTTAGCACCTTTTGTCAACACAAGTTGCTGGGAATTACAGAAAACAACACATATTCTACTCAATAAAAGAGCACATAGTTTCCATCTGTTGTCTGCAAACACGTTTCCAATAAAGTGCAAAATATTTTATCCCAGTTCCCTAAATGCTAGTTGTAAGATGACACTTGAAATACACACTATATGATTAGTACTCACAAAGTCATATTTTAATTAAAAACTTGATTTTACAACACATATATGTACATTTCACATTGCAGAGAATTATATGCTCAGGACCATTACAGTAATTAATGTTTTATGTCACTGTTTCTTATTTCCCATATTCTTCTTAAAACAATTAATCTAGTTTAAATTATATACTATTGGTGGCATACATGGAACTGTATCTTAGAGATTAACAATTAACTAAATAAGTACATGAAAACATAATATACTTTTTTTGTAGCAAATATATATCACTTCAAGTATGAATGCAACATATAGACCACTGGCACACCAAGGCATTACTGATCGAATCTAGATTCTAGGAACTTCTTATAAGATAATTATAGTCCTTCTAGTCATTCTTACAAGATAAATATTTGAATCAAAGGAGGAACTGACTGAAATACTGTGGCTCACACTTATGGGTGTATGGGGGTCAAATGGATGGGGTATCCTGGATTAGTATTTAATTTAATGTATAGAGATTGATTACCCCTATTTTGGGGCCTGTGGAAGGTCCTCCTGGAACACCTAAGCTCCAAATCAGATTACACATTTTTCAGTGCCCCAGATAATCTAAACAACCCCCCACAACCTATAAGCCAGGATCTGGTGGACCTCTTCTTCTTTTGCTCCATCTGTAATGGTAAATTTGGGAGAGCTGCATTGAGCAATGAATTATGATCACATTCCAATGTGTTTGATAATGCTAGTGATTCAGAAAGGGCCAATATCATGATGGCATATTTCTTTGAAAAATAAGAAAAGTGAGGATGAACAATAAAATGTCATACTTTGTTGCTGTCAGTACATATGCAGGATTATAAGGGGGACCTGAAAAGGATGTTAGGGATAGGGAGATGTGGAAATACTAAAATTACCTATGTAGTGTCACAGCCTCCACATTACCTGTGTTACTGGATTTATACAAGAAAGATCAGGAAGAGGTGATATGCCTTAGTCACACTATTCAACACTATTATGATGGTTTTATGTTTCAGGAAGCAAGGTAGGTCTTCAATGAAATACATTGCCAGTCAGAATAGATTTTGGAAGGTATTGGTAGTAGCTGTAAATTTTTGGCTTGTGTATCGATGGTGTTCACAGGAGAGGACATAGGTCTAAACAGGTGACATAGGAGAGGACATAGGTCTAAACATCAAAGTTCAAAAACAACCTCAAGAGTGCAGAATGATAACCTCTCTATATTTTATCGATGCCCACATGGCAATATGGGAGGGAGGCACATACATAAGTCTCATCTCAAGTGCAAAAGCAAAGCTTTGAGTAAAGTGAAGAAATTGGTTAATGTGATATAAATCAGGTAAAAAAACAGTGAACACTATAGGCTGTAGAAGTTAACAAACACAGTGATCAAGTGTACAGCACTTCCGACAAATTAAACCACTTATTTAGGGCACTCTTGATTTCTAGAAATTCCGTTTTTCTCAAGTCATAATTTCTATCTAATGATGGAATTGATTGAGACCAGTAGGCAGAGAGTTTTATATGATAACACTCCATAAAGCTCTAGAATGCTTTTCTATCCACAGGCATGGTTCAATCAACAATGACATTTACTTTCAATTTCTTAATGTATTAATTTTGGTATTACCGGATTATTGCAAATATCCCAGGAACATGATGATTTAAAAGGCCTAGAGTAAAGAGAAGGTCAACACCATTTTAATGATTTTTTCAGGGAGGAAGATAAGATCAACTGATAGAAAACTATCGATAGGTGGATCAAGTTGACGGTGTCCAAAGATCTCCAAATACTATTTAACATTGTGCTGAAATATAGTAAATTAAATATAATATTATTATATTATAATATAGAGTCCACATTATAAAAAATAAAGGGCTATCATATCAGTTGGGCTCCCTCTGTTTCTAACTTGCATTTTGGACATCTACTCCAATGTTTCCAACCAATATCAATGATCAGAGAGATTAGAGTTATGAAAGATGCAAATAGGCCTAACCATTTTTGAGGGCCCCAAAATGCCCACACCAAAGTTGGTCAATAAAGGCTGGTTTATTCCAAGTTCAATTTGTGTCTCAGGCTACCCACAAAATGATGACATATCCATCCATGAGCAAGGGCATCCACAGCATAGAGCAAGAGAAGACAGATGCCCTCAGTGGATTTGCCTTTCCTTTCATTTACATAGGGCCCGCAAGAGACAGTAGCAACCCACCCCACCACGCTGTTTTCAGCAGACACCACTGTCCATTGGGCTGTACCTTTGCCTCAAAAATATCAGGTTAGCTTAGTAAACTAGTGAGCAACCAGCACACTTCCAATATGGACTACTCACTCTTCATGGGGGTGCAAAGTTACCAGTTCACAAACTGAGGCAAATTCACATGGTCAAGCACACTTCAATAGTGAATAAAGGGATTGCAGTTTATAGAGACCACATACAAACAAGCAACATGTTGTCTTCTGCCAAGTCCTTGTCAAGCTAGACATTTTAAAAATCCTCTCAATCCTACCCTTGCAAAAAGGAAATACATTCTTAAAAGAATATGATCAAACCAATTTTAAAGGTACATTTTCAAATAGTTACTCCATATCTGCACTTGCCTAAATGCACAATAAAAATTATATCTGTTGAAGCATATTTATTTTCTCATCAACAAATATTGTAAAAAAAAATAAAGTTTGCCATGACTTTACTGGAGAATCTTCAGAATGCTGTACTGTAATGAAGATACATTTTGTAGCAAGTTAATGATATAAAGGGGTCTCAATATTCTAAAAATCTAACAGGGAAAAAGTTATATATACATAAAAAAAGTGTTACCTGCACACTTAAGACAAATTTAATTGAAAAAAAGATAATGCCCTAAAAAACTAAATGGGTAATTTAGAACACATCCTAGAGGTTGAAGTAACCATTTCTGACAGACTACTGAGTAGTAAAATGCCCAACAAACAGATCACCCCCATAGTCACTCCACCACTTTTCACAAAATACTTCACCAATTTGCATAGCCAATGAGATACCAGTTTGAGCTGAGCTGCTGACCTGTCTCCACCAATCACCATTATCACTGTCATACTATTATGTGTATAGCATTTCAAAGCAGTGCTAAGGGTAAACAGTGCTGATAAGAAGAGAGTGATTGACGGTAAGGTGGAAACATGTCATCAGCTAAGCTCCCTCTGATCACTCACTGGCTGAGTATGTACTCGGAATATGTCAATTAAGGAAGTTACCTTAGGACAAGAGGAGGCATGGCTAAGGTGTAATTACACTGCAGAAAGTTGCAAAACTATCAGAAAAACTGAGGAGATTTGAATGTTAAGGAAAACACAGCATGAATATTAAGCCAACACATATCTACTGCACTTCGGTTGTGTTGATGCCCAGAGAGCATATCCATGTATTTGAATATGTAGAGTATTTATTTATTGTACATTTTATTGGGACTGAGTTTTCCAGGGGCACACTCCAGGTTGCCTATTGCACTGCTCCTATACTTCAGCGTGCCTAGGTCATACTTTTAAAGTAGGAACATACAATAAATCACCAAAGTTGTTGTTCTTTCCATTACAGTCCAAAATTGCCTCGGTTTTAAAAGGGGTTAGTCATGAAATGGAAATACTGAAAATTCAAATCTGTCATAGAGAAATAATGTCTTCAATATAATTTTATAATATTGAAATCACTTCAATGCTATTTATGGAATCATAGCATATATATTTTTAAGTTTATTCATTTATGTACCATTGATATGCAAAGGACAAAATCTATATCTCTGTTCAACAATGCTTTAGTCATTTTTTGATGGAACCCATTCATGTTGTCATAATACATGGAATATGTGTGAATAAAGATTCTAGACAGTGTATGCGGTCACCAAGAGATAAGCTTGGGATGTATCTAGATCGCAAATAGTGCATATGTATAAGCAGTCATTGATTAGCATATAAAGCAGCTCTCACAAATACTAAAATAATTAGCTTGGTGTCAACATATTTCTGAATGCTGTTGAGACTTTGAATTCATATGGATGCAGTGGGGTATAAAAAGTGTTTGATTTTAAATAGTGTTTACAGTCAGTGAATGTTTTGTACATTATTTAGAAAAATAAACATTATATTGTATTTAACACATTGTGACAAAGAGTGGGTGAAATATGTAAAAAATAAAATATTAATAAAACATGCAAACGTGGTACTTTGCTCCATCTGGTGAAAAATATGCCACTAAGTACAAGTATTTTGATTTTAAAAATAAGAATTCCTAATCACACTAGCTGTACTCTGAGCTAATGTCACAGTTGTCAAAAAAAAAAATTAGAGAAATATTAAAGGTAAATATAAACCTGATTTATTAGCAGGATTTAAAGAATATAACTTACTCAAAAAAAGCAACAACAAAAAGCAAAAAAAAAAGCACATGAACCTTAATAAGAGAGCCATCAGGGAGGTCTGAGATAATATTCCAAGAATCTGTCAGGTGCAATGAAGATAAGAGTAGTCAGCCAAACAAGGGGTCTTTTACCATAAAATCAATCCACGGATAAGCTGCTTAGATAGTCAGCCAATCCGGGCTCATACGCTGAGATATCCACCCGTTGAGGGTTGAGAAGGAATAGGTAGCTGAGAGAAGTATAACTGAAGGAGATTCTGGAGTCTTACAAGAGGGAGCTAAAAGTTGGATTCAGATGCTAGATTCAGGGGAAGTATGGAGGAATGGAGGCTAGGAAAGGAAGCAAAGAATCATTACTCAGACTTATGAATTGAGTGACCATACTACGAGCAATGAATCTTTAAATAGGGAAGACTTAATGCACCTATTAAGGAGTTGGACATTTGATAAACAATTTAAAGAGATAGTGAAATACAAATGCTTAGCTCATAATGTTATAAATGATATCAGTACAATGTGACAGATAATGATGATGGCCATAAGCGTGGGGCACATATTTAGACAACCATGACTGGAATTAATGTGATACAGTAAATCTGTGATGGTCCACCAAGGATCCATATATGTTTGTGAACTATGTTACATGTGATGTCGGTCCAGTCTAAAGTTGACTTTAGTTACCACTGTTTCATTTTGTAATAACCCCTACCCTGGCCACTCCTAGGACAGAATATAGAGAGTACAATTAGCATTCTCAGCAAATAATAAGGGAATTTGTGAAACCAAAATTACATATCCTCCAACCCAAACTATATGGAGAGAGAGGAGAGAAAAAGTCAGGCTGACGCAATTAAAGATTCATCCTTGTTTATTGGGGATATCTGAGGGGCTCCATTAATTTCTATTGAAATCTTGTTTAAGGAACTGTGAATGAGTGAGTGTGTATGTCTGTGAATGTGTATGTTTTAGTGAAAGTGTGTGTTGGTTAAACAGTGTGTGTGAGACAATGAATAAATAATGTGTGCGTTTCACTAAAAGTGTGTGCCTGTCAGTGAATGTGTATGTCTGTTAGTGTGTGTCTGTCAGCTAGTGTATGTGTGTCTGTCACTGAGTGTATATATGTCTGTCGGTGAGTGTTGTATATGTGTGTTTGTCAGTGTGTATCTGTCAGTGAGTATATGTGTGTCCCAGTGTGTGTGTCTGACACTGAGTGAGTGTGCATCTGTCAGTGAGTGTGTGTATGCATTTCTGTCAGTGAGTGTGTATGTGTGTCCTGTCAGTGCGTGTGTATGTGTCTGTTAGTGAATACGTGTCTGTCAGTGAATGTGAGTGTGTGTGTAACTGTAAGTGAGTATAACTGTGAATGAGTGAGTGTGTATGCCTGTGAATGTGTATGTTTTAGTGAAAGTGTGTGTTGGTTAAACAGTGTGTGTAACAATGACTGTGTATCTGTAAGTGAGTGTATGTCAGTGCATGCATCAGTGAGGGCATGTGTCTGTCAGGAAGAGAAATTTGGAAGGGGGAGAGGGGTGCCTGAGTTTTGTTATGCCTAGGGCAGCACAAAACCAGAATACACCACTGTTTGAAGTCCAGACTGTGTGATGTGTTTGTGCTACACTAATCCCAAGACATCGCAAGACATCCCATGACAAACTTGTGTATAAGTCTAGTGTTCATTATCTCTGAAGGTCTGTCTTCGCTTCTCATCATTTAACCAGCTTTAACCAAGACCAGATCACTGCGCAAGCTGTGCCATAATAATGCTCCTCTTCAGGATAGGAGTTCCCAGAGTGTGTTGGAGGACTTACTACTGTTGGTTAAAGTTTAATGCCTGTCCTCTATAGAAAGTATGTTAACTCCATGTGTTTCTTCAGCGCTCTCTTGCTAAGCAGTCATTTTGTCTTTTGATATGTAGCAAAAGGTTGTTTTATAAAGTCAGTCTGTTCCTGTTTAAGCAAACCACTGACTAAGGATGCTTAATTACATAGTTTCATATGTGTGCCCTGCTCTTACTTCTACATGCTGCTGTACTAACACAACTCTGCTACATTTCATCAGGAACCTCACCGGAGCAATTGTGGCGGCAAAAGTGTAAGTTGAATTCACTAAAGATGCAATCAACCACAACTTTGTGTCCTGCAATGCATTTGATTATAGAACCTTTCAGCTAGAACAGGATTATGTACTTCAGTTGTATGCAGCATGAGAATGCATTCATATCTTGTCTCACCTGGGAGGAGATAAATGTAAATCAGTAAGGGTCTTTCTGGTGGCAGCTATATATATATATAATTACACAAACAGAAATAAAAACACACAAAGGTTTCAAATAGCAAGGCCATAAATAACTGGTAGTGAAGAAGAAGAGAATGTAAGGAGATTCCCATTAAACATTAAAGTGTAATTGTGGC